AAAAAAAAAAAAAAAAAGCCAAAGGAGATGGAAGGTTTTTGATTTCACTTTCCTCCCATGCTTATGTCTGTTAGCCAGCCATAATGATTGAATATGTTAGACAGACCTACTTTTGCTCCAGGCTGTTTGGAGAGTTGTATTCTTAAAAAGGTTAATTTAAACTGTATGTAGTCCATCATATGTTTCTGTCAGTTTAATTTAGAATCTAAGTTAGATGCTGAGAAAGAACATCTTTGAGGAGTGAGTCAATTTACAAGAATTGGGTCAATAAGGCTTTGCCAAGAGCATTTTCTTTCTTGTATTTTTGGCTAGTTTTCAGTTTGGAAAGCCTTTTTAATATGCTTCTGGACTGAATGCACTAGATCTGAACATATTAAAACAAGCCAAAAAAGGAGCTTGCAGTTATGTTGCAAGAGCATGGGGTGAGCATTATTGAATTCTCTGGGCGTGGTGTACTGTTCTTGTACGTACACGGTTTTGGTTGAGGGGTAATTGGCTAAAACAGTTGTGGATGAATTGAATCGAACACGAAAATATGGACTTCACTGACATGTGGATGTGTTGTAGGGTGAAGATGAAGCAATGTTTGTGGAGTACAGAAAACAGCTGAAGCTGTTGCTGGACAGACTTGCTCAGGTCTCACCAGAGTTACTGTTGGCATCTGTCCGCAGAGTTTTTAACACTACACTTCAGTAAGTTTGGGTTTTTAACTTGTTTACATGACACTCATCGCTTTTTTGCCTTTTCTGTCAAGAGTTTGTAATGAATGTGTGATGTAGCAAGGGGAAAGCAATTACCAGAATGAGCTTGTTACAGCTGAATGATAATAGGAAGAAAAAGCCTTTATTTTACATCCTGAAGTGGCAGCAAATTTATTTTTTTTCTCCCCTAGAGATGTGTCTTGATCTTTGTCACTTACCTACACAGCAACGACCATTTGGACAGGTGTTCACTTTTCACCTCAAGGAAATGATTGCGATGTGGCAAATAATTTTATCTATTACTGCTATCAGAAAACCAAGGCTGGGTAGGGAAAAGAAACAGAAGTGAAATATTCTTTACAAAAAGAGCAGAACCAATCCTGGAAACTATGCATGTAGATAAACTGACTACTGGTTGCCTGACAAGGACAGTTGTGTGTATACAAACAGGAATCCAGTCTTGTTGCTGGCTTCCTTGTACCTCGCTCTCTAGCGAGCCCTCTTTTTAAGTGAAGCTGAATGGCTTGTCCACGCCTCATGGTAGCTGGATTTGTACCTACATGAGCACTTTGTGAAATCTGTAGCTTTCAAGTTGAAACTGGTAAAAGAAAATTGGTAGGACTGCAATGGAGAGATGCTGTGTTTGTGGATAAAGACTTCCAGAAGCATCCTGAAATACTGCATAGGTCTTACACTGTTTTTCTTGGTTTAAATTTGCTGGGTTTATGCTGTGCATCTGAAGAAGGCTCAAAAGAAAATACTGACATGGTAGAACCGTGATTATTTCCTGGGCTACTACAGACTAATATGATTTGGTTTTCTTTCTCTAGGAATTGGCAAACTACACGATTTATGGAGGTGGAGGTGGCGATAAGGCTGCTGTATATGTTGGCTGAGGCCCTGCCTGTATCTCATGGTGCTCACTTCTCTGGTGACGTTACAAAAGCCACGGCTTTACAAGACATGATGAGAACGGTGAGCGTGCGTGACCTGGGAGCTGTTTTAAAATGCTAATAAAGACTGGAGCATTCAAGTGGCTCATCTTAATTGCCAGCACATTGCATCCAGTTGTAGTTTGGTGTTATAAATGGCTAAGGTGCTAACTTGCTAATGCTTTTCTTTGTAGCTGGTGACTTCCGGCGTTAGTGCCTATCAACACACATCAGTGACCCTGGAATTCTTTGAAACTGTGGTTAGATATGAAAAATTCTTTGCTGTTGAACCTCAGCACATTCCAACTGTTCTAGTAAGTTTAATCTCATTGACATTTTCAACTAGGTAGGGATAGATAACTTCTTTAGACTTAGGAAATTTTCTTATTTTCTGAAGGTCGCTAAAGAAGCTGAGTTTCTTCAGTTGTTGAATGATCAGCTTTTTCTCCTTGTTCAGGGATTCTTTCTGAGATACTTTCTTGATTGCAGATGGCATTTTTAGATCACCGTGGTCTTCGCCATACAAGTCCTAAAGTACGAAGTCGAACAGCTTACCTCTTCTCCAGATTTGTCAAGTCCCTTAAGTGAGTAAAGCTCTTACAAATGTATCCAAATGGCACTGAATTTGCCATATGTAGCCCTTCTGTACCTCACAGTTCTCACTGAAACAGGCTGGGCTTTAAATGGACTGCAGTGAAGTAATATATCAAAATATATCCTGCTCTAACAGGGCTGTCCTATTGTGTCATACTAAGGTAGCAGTGGAAAAATTTGTCACAGAGCAAAGAACTGGAATACATAAGCTTAGCTTATTTTGATTAGATATTAAAACTGATCAGCAACGTGAATGTCTGTCCTGCTCTTCCTCACTGAGCAGAGCTGAGAGCGAGTGGATCTGGAGACTCATAAGCGTAACTCTTCCCTGTCCCTTACCAAATTTTTAATATTTAGAGAATTTATCAATGGAGTTTGCTCACTGTATTAGAGCCCTTCAAACAGTCCTGTCCTGCTGGTCTTATTTCACAGACATATATTTAGAGGCAGGAGAAGCTCCAAGATGGTTCAGATTTCAAATGGATCCTATTTTTCAACTGTTAATGAAAATATTTTACTTGGATGAGTGAGGCTATTTATCCATGTTAAAGAAGAGGGAAAGAAAGAAATGTTTATTTCCCACTATGCCATGTATCTGTTTGGCCTACCATAAGTACTATATCCATAAGTCAAGACTTTTTCTAGAACTGTGCTGTGGTATTTAAAGGGGACTTCTATATTGAGAAGGTAGTTCAGCGTCTAGCATTACAGCTTAAGTAAAATACCAGGAAAACTGTAAAAGTGCACAAGCATCTAAGTAGCCTTATGTACCTGTGTTTTACTTCAGTAAGCAAATGAATCCATTTATTGAAGATGTTCTGAACAGAATACAAGATCTACTGGAACTTTCTCCTCCTGTGAGTATTTACTGCAGGTTTTTCTAATAGATAAGGCTTGCACTTACTCGTCAGTGTGTCTGAGCCCATGCTGAATTGTAAGCTTAGTGCACAGACATTTAAACAGGAATAATTGTCCTGCTTTTTTGGTGTGGGATCACTCGCATGCTTACATTTGTACCCAGTTTTAGTTATCTTGCTTATGTGGATTTCTGGGACTATAGGCTATAGATGGGTGTGTATATATAAAAGACTGTCTGAATTGTATAAAAATAGTTGTTACTTCAACTATGTTTTTACCTGTATTTAACAATTCTAAAGTAGGAAGAGAATAAAACTTTTGTAAGTGTACTATAGAGATTACTTAGGCATGGTTAAAGTTGAGAAGACAATTTTGATAAAAGACGTGTAGTGAATTATGCCTGTTATCTTCCATTTTAGGAAAATGGTTACCAGGCTCTGTTAAGCAGTGATGATCAACTTTTCATTTATGAAACAGCTGGAGTATTAATAGTTAACAGCGAATACTCTGCAGAAAGAAAACAGGTTTTAATGAGGAATTTGTTGACTCCACTGATGGAGAAGTTCAAAGTATTGTTAGAAAAGCTGATGATGGCACAAGATGAGGACAGACAGATGGCACTGGCTGATTGCCTCAATCATGCTGTCGGGTTCGCTAGGTAGGTACAGCACAGTGACTCTGTCTTTCTGGTTTGAGTAAAAAGGGAAATAAAAAGGATTTCTTGGGAGGAGGGGCCTGAATTTCTACCGGTGCTTTACTGAACTAGAAAATTAGCAGTGGTTGTAGAATTTCTTAAGGTAGCCCAGAAAATGAGTTAAGATCCCTTACAAAAGGCCGCTGTGCATGTAGAGACAGAAAATATTGAGCAAGCTTGACAGAAAGCAGCATCTATTCCCTTCCTCAAAGAACTGTATGGAGTTATTCTAATTATATGTTGTTTGCAGATTGTTAGAATTCTTCAAATTAATTATTAATTCTCAAAAGAATTGTCGAAGTGTAGCTACTTCATAGCAAACAATTCTCTTCATTACTTCCCATGTCTGTCTTTCATTTCATGAAATGTAATGTTCCAGTTTAGTGCATGGGTTTAAAGCACGTGATGTTCTCAGTGTTATTGCTTCTTCATTGTGTTGGAATGTGAGCTTATATAAAACTTAGCATATTGCTTTTACAGCCGAACCAGCAAGGCTTTCAGCAATAAGCAAACTGTAAAACAATGTGGCTGCTCAGAGGTTTATCTGGACTGCTTACAAACGTTTTTGCCAGCTCTCAGCTGTCCACTGCAAAAGGAAGTTCTGAGAAGTGGTGTCCGCACTTTCCTTCACCGCATGATTATTTGCCTAGAGGAAGAAGTTCTTCCGTTCATTCCTTCTGCCTCTGAACACATGCTTAAAGATTGTGAAGCAAAAGATCTTCAAGAATTCATTCCTCTTATAAACCAAATAACAGCTAAGTTTAAGGTATGGTGTTGCATAAGCTTTTTAGGGTCACAGTCTTACTGATGCCTCTTTTCTGATTCCAGAAAAATGTCCATGTTAGAACCTTATGTCACAATAAGTGTATTTCTAAGGCTGCTACGGGGAAACGTAGTCCTCAACCTACGTTGCTGGCCTCTCAGTAATTAAATGAGTGGTTTTCTTTGATTAATCTCAGAATTTTATGCTGTTTCTAAATTTTTGGGTGAAATATTTTAAAATAAAACACTACTTGCAGCACAAAATTATTTGGATTGGCACAATTGACTTCCTGCCCCCCACCAAAGTGTTAAGCTAGTATTACAAACTATGCAAGCTCCAAAGTGAATTTTCTTGTTTATTATGAGTTCTCCAGTAGGTACAGAACAATCAGATGCACATATAGGGAAGAATACTGATTTACAAGATCTCGATGCAATGGTGTTGCATAAAATACATGCTGAGTCTTTTTGTAGTGCTATTCAAAACACCTTTACAAGTACGGAGTTTTTGAAATGGAGGCATGAGGTACGTATTAAACAGGAGTAGTCAGACTGTCAACCGATTATCTGGCAAAGGTTCTTGAAGTGTAGCCTTTATGATCTTCCTAATTTCAAAGAGTTCAAATTCCAAGTCAATCAAATATACTAAGTTACTAACCTGTTACTCGTGGTTCATTCCCTGGAGCTGTCACAAGAATATTGTGCTGTTGTGAATGGGTTGGGAAATTAATTGCTTCATCAGAAGGTTAAGAAGCTCTTTAAATAGGCTTCAGTAAGTCTTTCAGCAGAATGCAACATTAAAAGTACTAAAAGTGAAGTGCATTTTGTGAGCAGTAGAACAGAAACCTTAACATACCAGTGTGCATCTAGCATGTGGACCTCCGTTTGGGGTATCCCATCCTGCAGAGTAGAGAGAAGGAATTGTGAAAAATCAAGTATTTCAGAGACTAGGATGTTAGACTCTTATTACTCTAGTCGTTTTTGCAAGTTATGCAAAGAGCAATTCAAGATTACAGTAGATAATTTAAAAATAGTCCATGTAAGATGAGGAAGGGAAAAAAAAGTCACATGAACAGGACTGGGCAAACACCATGTTCAGGTGTAATGTTTAACTTTGCATGCTACCGTACCATTGTTACTACAATATGTTAAAATAAAGATCCTGGCTTTAATATTTTCACCTTAAGTACTATCAAGGTACAGTAAAGCGAAGATTAAAGATAAAACCTTGTTTAAGCATTAAGAAGTTAACATCTGAGTTGCCTCTTTGTGGAACTCTAGATTGTGGCTGAGTAGTGCACACCTTCAGTTTTTCAATTAATAAGTGTTCAACTTATTTAGTTCGCTTTCCTGTATTTCTCACTGCAAGTGGGACAGAAATGACAAGTGTATCCTGTAATGCCAGTAGTATTTCAGCTCAGGAAAACTTTTTTTTTCTTCAAGCATTCCTTAAAGATAAGGAGGCCCGCTGCCAGTTTTAGCATGAATTTTCTGTAACTAGTGACTTTAAAATAGTTCCCCTAGACATTTCTTGGAATTTCAAATAGTATCTGTCTGAACAGAAGGATGAGAAATCCTGAAAAAGCTTCTGTTCCTATTCAGAATGAGACTTGATAGGACTAGGTATTTTTGTGCAAAAGACTGGAAATAGGTGGCATTGAAGTCAAGATGCAGTAATGCCTATGGTGACCTGATGTGACTCACTTTAAATAGTTGGTACACAAAAATGCTAATTTTAAAGCTGAATCATGGCTGAGAATTGTAACAAGCCTTGAATTTTTAATTTTGAAATGTTCGATTTCTGTAACCAAGTTGATACCCTCTTTCAATCTCCACAGACACAGGTTTCACCTTTTCTGCAACAGATGTTTATGCCACTACTTCGTGCTATTTTTGAGGTGTTGCTCCTTCCAGCAGAAGAAAACGACCAGTCTGCTGCTTTAGAAAAACAAATGTTACGGAGGAGTTACTTTGCTTTTCTGCAGACAGTGACTGGCAGTGGAATGAGTGAAGTCATAGCTAATCAAGGTAAGCAGTTCAGTTTCTCAAAGGGGATAGTACTATGATAAGTGTCAGCTAGGTTTTGTCTACTAAAACCATTAGCCTAGTTCCTGTCAAGTACTGTTAACTATGGTAAAGGTAGAACCAACTAATGTAAATACAGTATGCAACTTACCTGTTGTGCAAGAATTGGGGTTTGTGAAACCCAGCTATCATAGGTGTATTCTTCCTATTGATCTTTTCAGCTTATTTGTGATCTGTGTGTCCAAAGACAAGAACTGTGTGTAATACACCCTCATACATCACTGCATTGGGTGAACTGGGGCTCCTACAACAGATAACAATGTATAGCAATGCTCAAACTGTTGAGCAAGACCACACACAGCTGCCAGTATTTATTATGGCATTTGTTTTCAGAAGGACACATCAGTAGCTTCTGTAATTTTTTTAATTGCTATCACTTGATCTTATTATCTAGGGTAGAAGGCATCATGTGACCTAAATACATAGTTACCAAGCTTTCTTCACCCTTAGTGGCCCAAGCAAATCCATGCTTTTCATAGCAGGAATTTGAAGTCGAATGCCCAGCTGGATGATTCTTTTAAGTGATTCTCTAGGTTTGTATTCCATCAAAATGGCTAGGGACTTGAGAAGCTTTAGTGACTCATCGGGAAGGTGGAGCTCAGAACTCCTTCCCCCGTGTTAAAATGTTGGTAATACCTGTGGGAAGGGAAACGGTGATGTTAAGAAGTAGTGAAATCTTTCTTGGCGAAGACACTTGGTAGTTGTGATGGGCCAAGAAATTTTTAAAGGCATCAAAACAGAAATAAGGAAAGATTGCAGCACAGAAAATTTAAGTGTGATAAAACTATCTTTCCGTATATTGGAAGGTTCGCTTCAGTGCTGCTGAATTTTAATTGAAGAGGAGGAAACTTGTGTTTGTAAGCACGTGAAAGTACTCCCCTCACCTTTGTGTGTATTGAAGACTAGAAGAGCAATTAAAATCCCCCAACTTAAAACACGAAACAAAACCACCAACCAAAAAAAACCCCAATGATTATAACCTAAAAAAGAGCTGTCTTGCATCGTAGGGGAAACTTCCTAAAAATATTTGAGATTTGTGCAAAAAAGAGCTATTTTGAAGTTGAACCATGCCTTCCAGGTCAGTACTTATATCAAATAGTATAAGAGTACAGAAACATTTTAGGCTGCAAGTTGAAATGACAAGCTCGTTTTAATGTTTAAGGTGCAGAGAATGTGGAGCGTGTGTTGTTCACTGTCATTCAAGGAGCAGTAGATTACCCAGATCCTATTGCACAGAAGACTTGTTTTATTATTCTTTCCAAGTTGGTGGAGCTTTGGGGTAAGGCTGTCTTTCCATCATTCCTTTCCAGCTGCTGCTAACCATAAAGCAAAAATAGAACATGGAATGTTATTTTTCTTTTCAGGAGGTAAAGATGGACCAGTAGGTTTTGCAGACTTTGTCTACAAGCACATTGTTCCTGCATGTTTCTTAGCACCTTTGAAGCAAACGTTTGACTTAGCAGATGCTCAGACAGTACTGGTATGTATTATGGACTTTTGTTGTTGTTTGTTCTTGTGGGGTAGATTCAGGCTAAGAAACCTACAATAACCATGTGGTATCAAAGATTGTTGTCTCTTACATTTTTTATTGAGGTACCTGGATGATTAATTATTGAATATTGTGGTACTGTGTTCTGTACTTCACCTATGCTCAAAATCAAGCTAGAGAATTGTGAATCTGAGTATTTAGCATTGACCTATATTACGTATTAACTACTGTTCACTGAAAGTGAACACACAGGTGGCTGTTCTTTAGTTCATTTTGGGTTCAACTGTGACAAATTTTTCTGGTTAGAGTGGAGCAAAGATTGGAAGGTTGAGGCTCAGTGAGCATTGCATGAGAGAAAGATGAAGGAATAATGGCATGAACTAGCCCTTGTGTTAGGCCTCATTAGGTTCTTTGGCTTTAAATACTTAACAAATAGAATAAACAGTCTAATGTTATGTATTACATTGCAGGCTTTATCAGAATGTGCTGTGACGTTAAAAACAATTCATCTCAAAAGGGTAAGCTTCAAAATACTTTGCAGGGAATAACTTGCAGGTTTCTTACTAGTGCTTTTATCAGCTTTTAGGATAACTTACTCCTCTACTCTTACATGAAGTAATAGAATGACCACAATGCTGTGTAGGGATACAGGATTCAGTAGTTCTGCTTCTTGATAAATTACTGCAAAATCCTGACTCTTTATTAAGAAGAAAAATCTGTTCAGTTGCTGCTGATCAGCTGGCATTCTTTCACTTTTCAGTGTAGTACTTTTACTAACATAAAAGAGCAATGAGAGTTGACTGTAGCGTACTTCTGTGAAAACTAAAGGTATCTTTAGACGTGTAGGAGACGAGACTGGAAAACGCGTATGGAAATAATGTTGCATTGGTTAGAACGCTAAAGTGTATTTCCGTTTTTCATGGAACTGAAACAGTTTCTATGTTCATGTTGCTCTTAGCTGCTACACCATTTAACTTGCTGGCTAACTTTTCTGTTAGATACAAGTAAACGTCACAACTACACAAACTGTACGAAGTTATAAACTGGCAGAAAAGAGTGAGCTCTATTTGAGATGTTCCTCAATTGTTCTCTCAGATGTTCTGAGTTTGTTCCTTTTTCCCCAAAAGCAGTGAAGATGCAAATCTGTAGGATATCAAGCTTTGGTAAATGAAATAACTTCTTATTACAAATACCGTTTCTTTTAACTAATACAAGTATAGAAAATTATCTGAAAAATTTTTCCCTCATGTGAACTGTATACAATCTTCTAGTTCTCGGGTAACTTGTGAATTGAAGTTGATTCACTTTCCCATGGTAGATGTATTGGGTCATGTTTGTGTACTGCCAGTGTACAGTAATCCCTCTTGTGACGAGAGGTACCTAATACATGCAGATAAAGAAAACAAACTATTGTGTTAACCAAAACAAACCCGTCTGTCTGCTTCTCAAAAGTGTGGAAGTTCCATTTTATTACTCTCTAGTCCACCACAAATTACATAGTTAATGTTACAAGAAGAGAAACACTGTTTTGGGGTTACTTGGCTACTAAATTTCACAATGGGAGTACTATGCTAAAGCAGTTGCAGATATTAATTGCCAATTTTTTAGTTGTTATTTCAGGTAGTGAAATTAGGGTTGCCTTCTTACTTAACTGACATGTCACAGACTGACTGGCTATAATATTGTAATTCTTTTTTCAGTACGTTCTTCTGCTGTGTAACAGAAGATACCAAATTGCAGTAGAATAAGGAATCTTTATTTGCTAGTAGCTGAGATTAACGTGAGCATTTGGTATTTGATGTGCATAACTTTTCTGTAAAACAGTCACGTAGACCACCTGTTTGCAAACTCCTCTGTATCATACAGTATAGGGGTATGACTTCCCATTTGTATGAAAATATCCTTGAACAAATTGTATGCTCCTTTTCTTTAGGGTCCTGAGTGCATTCAGTATCTTCAGCAAGAGTATCTGCCTTCTTTGCAAGTAGCTCCTGAAATAATTCAGGTAGGAAATCCTAAAAGAACATTTGGGAAACTCTTAACAATCATGTACGTGAAACGGGAACAAAATCACTACTGCAAAGTTAACCTCCTGCCATCCCTCACTAAAACTTATGTTGGTATTGCGTATCAGAATGAGAGTAACTTAGCATAAGGAGTAATGACAGTTACTGCAAGAGTACCTTGCTAGGAAAAAAAAGTCCAGTAAGTGTGACTGCCTAAACCGTCTTCCACTTTATTTCAGAATTTAGCTTGAGGAAAAATTATCAGAATACTTCGAGTAATAACTCAAAAGTAACATGCAGAATGTGGGATGTATAGAAAGTGTGATGATAAAGGCTGTATTCAACACTACAGAAATTTAAGCCACAGCACTGGTTCCACTGTGAAATAATTTACAATAACTGGGGGGGAGGGGGTCGTGTGCTTATTTTGGAGCTGTGTAAGAGGGTTGTCAGAGTGAAACTTTACACCTGACTGTTGTCCCAGCATTAAGTACTGCTAGCTATATGGTAAGCGTTGCCACAAAGAAAGTTAGATGAACACTGACAAATTTTAATTGCAGCTAATTGAGTTTGCTGCATTAGGATTCAATTATACTCAATATAAGACTTAAACTGTAGAAGTTTTAAGTGGCACTAAATACATGTAAGGATCCGGTATTACCTCTTGCTGGTGCTCCAGTGTTTTCTGATCTAAGATTATAGCTTTCTCAAGTGACAGACATGTGCATAGTAACTTCTTGAAGTGTAAATGTTCATGTGAACTCTTCATTTCAAAGCCACCAGAAGTTATTGGAAAAGTTAAAGGTTTAGAACCTCCTTGATTGTAGGTACTCCTAGATGGTATTTTGAAAACAGTGTTTTTTTCACCCCAGAATGCACTTGGCTTGTCATAGCTTATTACAGTTTTTTATTGATAACATGATTTTCTTTGGTTGCACATCAGTGAAAATGCAAACTAATATCAGTGGCTGTACACACATAGTATTCAGTATGAACCTAACATATCTCAGATTGTCTTCTTCCTTCATTTAGTTATTTACTATTTCTTTATTCTCTTACAGGAGTTCTGTCAAGCACTTCAGCAGCCTGATGCTAAGGTTTTCAAAAATTACTTAAAGGTAAGGATTTTTTTTCAATATCTTTTCATTCCATTTGAATTTTGTCATACCGTTCAGTTGTGGTAGTGACCAAACTAAAACAATTATTGAGTTATGTAATCCATTTTAGCTATAGGGAATCTATAAGTAGTAAAAGCAGTTATTTGGAAAGGAGCAAACAACAACAACCCTACATCTGTAAAGTTGTCACTCTCAGGACCTTGCTATCTCCTCAATAGCTTGATGCTCTTGTGTTTTATGTTCAGTAGTGAAACAGCAAATAAAATGGTGCTGGAATTGTAGAGAACATGTCAGAATGCTTCACTTTTGAGGGTGTGAGTGTAACTGAATAGCACATCCTTGAACCTAGCGCGTTAAACTGGTATCTCAAATAAGAAAATGAGCTCTATCAAACAAAGTATCTTACGCCTCCATCATTCCATCTCTCCTTTGCCTTAAAATGTGTTTTGTTTTTTTTTTAATAAATTCTAACAGGTTTTCTTCCAGAGAGCGAAGCCCTAAGGAAAGTACTGGAATTTCATGTACCTCTCTCCATAATCCAGAATTCTGGTTGTTAATTTATAAAACTGCTAACTCTTGTGCCATTAAAACTGGTTTTGTTTTTAAGAAATGTTGCTTTGTGCTCACATCAGTACATATTTTAGCCTTTTGCAAAAAAAAAAAAAAAAGAGAAATGCAAAGCCCCCACCTGTGTCTCAAACATCGAAGGTATGTGACAACATGAAAAATTATCTGTATACCTACAAAACCTTTCATTATGTATAGGATGACTTAAGCTTATGCTGTTACACTTACAGCAATGAAATGACACTTATTTTTGAAATTAAATGTAAAAATCCCTTCAGACCATAGCAATGATTATTAAAATGTGTACATTTTTGATACTGAGTAAAATGTTTTCATAAGACATAAAACTCATTTGTTCATGTATGGTGACATGAAAATAAAACAATCAAAGTCATTCTTGTAGATAGTAATTTCATTGAAGCTGTCTTAATGATAAAATATATATATACCTCCTATAAAAAAAAGATTGGTTTAATAAATGATTTCATTTAAAAGTAGCATCTGGTTCTATCTTTTTTTATAAAAAAATAAAATTTTATCCAGTGAAATGTTAAGTCTCTTTGAGTCATTTTGGTTGAATCTTTAGAATCTACAGCATTCTTTAACCTTCTAACTTACATTTTTAACAAAATTATATTGTTACTGGCAATTTTTCTGATGCTTGGGTAATAAATTGTATTGCAGTGTTGCATGTGGAAGATGCTGGCAGGAAGAAGGAACTGTAGTCACTGCGGTATTTCCATAGGGTCAATGGTCTATACAGATATTTTAGCAGAGTGTTGCTACTTCTGTCCCAAAATACAGCAGTTGGTCAGGTTTTTTTCTTTGCTTTTATTTTTTTTAACTCTATGACTTTACTGTTTTCATAGCTATTCATAGGGGCAAGGGGAAGCTAGGAGTCTTCCTAAGCATAGGATTTCATACTTGCCCTAAAGGACTGATGTCCACAGAAAAAAAGGTGACTTCTAGCATAATCAGATCAGCATTTTTCTAGACTGTGTGGTGCCAGGTTCTTCATCCAGTTTAAGTGGGAAGGAAATGAGGAGGTGGATCAGAAACAGTACCCAGGAGTGGAGTGTGGTGATATTTTGAGGATGCTCACTGCCCTTCCCTCCCTTTTCAAGGAGGGAAGCAAGCAGAGGGCACTTACCTTTGTTCTTCAGTAGGACAGTGTCAGTTCTATAAGATTTTTGATCCTGATTTTTGTACATTTAATCAAAAGCTGCTTGTTACTCGATTTGTTTCATCACAAACAAATGGTGCTTTTGCAAATGCTTATGGTGCTTTTTCTATGCTTCCTACTTTCACTATGAAGTCTTCCTCCCTTTGCTGCCATATCGATGCTAGAGGTCCTCTGGGTCCAATACCTGATTTTTCTCCTGTAGCGCTAGCAGCCTTCCACCTTTGACTCGGTGCTTTGGGTGTGCTGCTGTCCTTTTGCACCTCCCCACTGCCCCTCCCCAGCCTGAGGGGCTGTGCCCCACACCACCACAAAGGCTTCGCTGTCAGTCTTCTCTGTGCTGTGCTTGGTCTCCTGCCCCTGCAGCTACAGCAGCTTTACCACACAGAAAAGTTTTGCTAGGCAGGCTGTGAAGCAAACAACAAGTTACGGCTCTTCTGTCTTTAGCAAAGTTTTTGGTTTTAAATTAGTGTCATTGTAATGGAGTCACTCTTCGTTTTCCCCTGTGATTTAAACTTTCCCTTCTGAAGCAAGGGTAGTGCTGCTGCTTTGAGTACTGCACAAGAGTAGGAAAGAAGTAGGAGAAAAGTAATTTGTCTGACAGAGCATGATTTAGCCATTCTCAAATTGCACTCTCATGAGAGAAGTCGTTAACCTGGCCCTGCCAAGAAAGATTGCTCTCCTTCCTCATGCCCCCTACCCCCCTGTAGCTTCCTCTGCACCTAGTCTGGGTTCATCTGACCCGTGGTGACCTATTCAGAAAGCCAAGGTGGCAAAAACACTTCCCCCAGAGCATGCGGAGCTGCCAGGTGGGAAGGGACGGACAGCAGAGAGCGCAGAGTGGGGGTGTGGTGCCCACGAACTTGTATCCTGCCCCCCTGCCCGTGCCGGAAAGAGCATCCTGTGGGATGAAGGGTTTAGGTATCCTCCATCTGCAGAGAAGCTAATTTAGCTGGGCTGAAGAATTCAGTGAGGATTGGTTACTTTCCTATGTTTTGACACTGTTGAGTCAGCGTAGCGTACTGTCAAGGTTATGCAAGGTGTGAGCTGTAAAACGGGACCTGTGGGTTGGTTTCTGTGTCTTTAGCTAAAGATGTAAATACTGATTCCGGCTGCTGACAGCTTATTTCTTCTGTGGTTTCCTTCAGCGGCACAAAGACAGCAGGTCTGCAGCTGTTACATCACAACTGGGTTACGTGGTGGGTATTCCATGCCTAGCAACTATCTTTGCAAATAACTGAGGGTTAGAAAAGCAATTGATGAGTTTCTACATCTTTACTTTGAAGAGATGGATCCCTGCTTTTCCCCTTTTTTTTTTTTCTTGTTTTGTTTGTTTGCTTTTTAAATCCGGACTGGAAAAGAAATGTACTTCTCTCCAAAGAGAAATCTGGTGATGCAATGTTCAATCAGATTGCGAAGTAAACTCGCCAGGCAGTGCTTAGATGCTTTGAACACATTATGAAAGCTACTTCTTGTGGGGTAGAAGAGGAAAACGATGGAGATAGATGAGCATACTCCACCAAGAGGTTAGGTTGACGTTCACAGATTGTCCTTCAGACAAGGGATGATCTGGTTGAAAGGCTGCACCAAACACAACTACCTGCAGCTTTCCTGTATGACACCATCGCTGTGAAGCTGCATTGGTCAAAATGCCCTGTCTGGATGCAGATGCGTGAAACGTCATCACGGTAGTAACTCCTCATGTTGTGCACAACAATTTCCTCCTGTAAAGGGTGCTGAAGTAGGAGATGCAGCTGCAAGTCTTTAAGTTTAACAAGGCACCTTTTGCAGGGAGATGGTATCTTTTGTTTACAAGATAATCATTCTGCCTTGTAAATGCTTCTGGGTGTAAAGTAGAGGCGATGAATTTCCTGCAAGCTGAGGTCAAGGACCATTTTTCTTCAGGAAAAAATGTACTATTTCAGTAACTTAAGCCAACAGGAAACCAAAGAAAGGAGAGTGAAGGAAAACAGCAAACAGGTTTTAACCAATTAAAGCACACTCAAACTGCTGTGAGGGACCAGCACAAGTGACAGAATGGGACCTAGCAGTGATGGTGAAGAGAACATGTAACAAAAGTTGGATAGGGCAGCCAGAAATAGGAATGGAAGTACCTCCCTGTGAAAGATCTTGGTGGTGGCAAAAGGTGGCACATCAGAATAAAGTGGAATGTGCTGGAAAATACATTTCTGCCAAGGTCAAGATTAATACAGTTCCTGGTGAGAGCAGGAGTGAGAATTCAGAGGTGGAGTAATTGTTCGGTGAGAAAGATTTTCTTACTCTGCAGCAGGTCCTTCTCTGGTGGCTCACGCTCACTCTGACAGAGGCATGGGTGGTTGTGCTTGTCCAAAGTTTGTCTCAGGGTGTTGGGTTCGGTGTTTCTGATTTGCTGAGAGGTGGGTACCGGCCAGTCGCGTGGATCTCTCACAGGCACACAGCGGGATAATGCCCTGCTGATGGCGGGCTTTTTGGCAGAGAGGTTTTATGTGTGTTGCTTCAGCACAAAGGCTTTTGCCTCTCATGTTTTTCTCTTCTTCCTGCATGTCACTTGTTCACTATATATCCCAGGCATTTCAGAAAAGTGGGAGACAGCAGGCTCCAGAAGGAGATGTTTTAAAAAATTTATTCTAATAATGTATTTTTACTATCAACACTAGCCACTACTTGATTGAACTCTCCTAAATGGTTTCATAACTATAGAACAAGAGGAAACGTGTAATTTGTGGACTACTTTTGGACTAAGGTTTGCTTGGGAAAATTAATCTAAACACGTAAACAGCTTTGGAATGAATTCTCTGGTGGCAAGCTGGAAACAAGATAAAGCTATGAAGAGCTGTCCTTCATCATGGAACTGCTTCCCCTCCCTCTTGGCTTAATGAACATGGAACTGTGAGAGGCACTTCCAGCTGAAGTGAACTTGGCTGCTTAATAGGTTTGCTTATTCTGATTTGGCTGTGATGCCTCCTAAACACGTAAATCAAATACAGAAAGCATTTTGACTACTAAATGGCCCAAAAGCTTTGGTTTTCTTTAGAAAATTCATTGATATAGGAAAAACAAAGTTTAATTTGCTTAGGAGCTCTCATCTGACTGAAGTTAGCAGTTGTCCTCTTGATATGGTTGGTAAGAGAATTTCTCGCTCAAAACCTTTAAAAGTCAAATAATTCAATCATATGTTTGTTCTTGGCAAATATCTACTCTGTTTGATTTCCTCTGTCCCGTGTTCTTATCTCATTGCTAGGTTGCCCAGAGGTTCCTAAGAGAGAGATTTTAGAAGATACTCTATTTTGCCTATTTTTTAATGCTCTCAGCTCTCGTTGACTATGCTCACTCTGAATTTTTCGTCCCCAGCATCTTTTTCTTTTTTGAGTTCTGGCATTGACAGGTACAAACATGAGAAGACTGTACGCAACATGCCAGCTTTAGCTGCACTTCCTATAGCCACAGTGTTAGGGTGAAGAGATGTAATGGTGTACAGCTACTGGCTGCTGAATTTGTGACCGTGAATGAGAGCCCAAATACTGGAGAGGTGAGGAGTACTAAAACTATTACTAATACACTGAAAAGGAGTAGAAATTTCTCAAGTGAAATTGTAATGGCGCTTTGCATTTTGGTGTCGGTTTTTCCTATTCTTATATTCAAGATACCATTTTCCTGTAATCCATACTGTGAAACATTTAAAGGCTAGGGAAAATCTTTGCATAAGGACACTGATTATGCTACAAATACACCCTAAATAAAAGGATAATTTGAATCACGCAAACCATATGAATCATCTTCCCTGCTTCAAGACCTGTGGAAAGCACACAGGCTGGTAACTGCCATGAGAGTGGTCTGTGGCCAGACACAGGGGCGGGGTGACATTAGAGCTGGGATCTTCTAGGTCTTAAATGAACAAAGCCCTGAGGAACCTGGTCTGAAGACCCTGCATTGAGCAGGTGGTTGGACCTCCCTAAATCCTGTCCAGCCTGAATGAGGCTATGATTTAAAATGGCCAGTTCCAAAACCCAACGACATACTAAGTCAACAGCTTGGTTTTCCTCAGAAGTGGAAGAAAGTACGCATCCAAGATACGAAGAAAAGTTCACTGGTGTTTTCCTCATTTTGAGAGGGCTTTTGCTAAAATCTGTACTGAACGATCGATCTGATGACAATTTCTGAAGACGACAAAGCTGACTCATGGGAATCCACCTGATGAAATAAAAACAGCTTGCAAAGCTAGGTACAGAGGAGAGGAGAGCAGAAATAAACCCTGTAACCTCTGAGGAGCACGACAGCATTTTTAAACATGAGAGGGCAGAACATAAATGTGTGGAACTATTCCCCCTGTAATGCAGA